AAAAGCTCATTTCAATATATATATATATATATATATATAAATGATGATATAATAATATTAAATTATATTTTTTTAATGTATGATTTGAGGGCAATTCTATATATAGTTTAACAATATTAAATCGTAATTTTTAGACTCATCTTCCGATTGCATGTAGCGTTTGGAAAAATTGGTGTATAGTTGTGTTTTAGACGCATCCTCGGATTACATAAAGCGTTGGAAAAATTGTCGTCACTGGTGTTTAGAATTAAATCAAATTCCACCGGTAGCAATTCGTTTCTGTCGCTTGCACTAAGACCGTTGACCAAAATTGATGGCGATGCTTTGAATTGATTCATATAATATACAAGTTGCTGTAGGTTTTGACTCTGTGACTCGTGTACAGTACTACAAGACCCTAAAAAGTATCAGCATTCACATTCGTGGTAAGAGAACAAAAATGTTCGCATTTGAATTTTGTTTGGGACATTTTCTAAAAGAATTTACGTTTAACTGTATTTTTTAATATCTTTAATCTAAAATGTATGTAATTTTTAACTAATTAAGTTTTTAATTCTAACTAAAATTAAGTAAAAAAATTGTCTAGATCACCAATATCATTCATCAGAGATAATTCTGCTAGAGTTAAATAGGATCATTATTGCTGACAAAAGTCTTTTTTCGAACATTTAACATAATTATATATTTACGACATGTCAAACTTGAGAACTAAGCTAAGCGAAAACAATTTCACACAAAAATTAAGTAAATTTGATTATTTAGTCATTGATATTTTTATATGTAAATTATATGACTTAAATTGTTTTAAACATTCATTGAAACTCACCAACCAAATTAAGCATCAATTTACACCTTAAGAAAACTTAAAATGGTTTGCTCTTCAACCCTAAGTTTACATCCTATAAATCCCTTAGAATTGTCACTAAATATTTTACTTTTAAAATTATTTCATATCTCAAATCTGTCGTAATTAATATCTAATTATTTATATAGAATATGATAATTTGAGTGTTTTAATAATATAATTAATTAATTAATTATGAGCAAAGAAAATTTGCCTAATTTTAAAATCAAACATGACTAAAAAATAAAAATTAGAAGAAACAATCAGATTTTCCAATAAAAATTAAATAGTCATTGATAAATTTAACAAATATTTCGGTATCACAATAACATGACAATAAAAATAATTAGTTTAAGCAAATAAAAAAATCAGTGTATTAATTGTTACTTAACTAATACACATAATGCATAATATATAAAAATTATTTTGTTAAATGTGTGTGTGTGAGAATCACTAGAGTGAGGGTCAACCTAGTGGTAAATTGAAGTAGTATATATATATATATATATATATATAAAGTTTTATGTTTGAACCGTTGAGAACAATTTTTTTCTTTTTTACGTATAATAATAAAGAGAAACATGTTCAAATAATACTATAAAAGAAATAGAAAAAGATCATACAAATTTATTTAATATGGTTCGATCCTTCATGTTTACGTTTATAAGGATGTTAATTATTTATCAAAATATATTATAAATATATTTAAAAATCCTTCTTTCAAATTTTGTAAATGAAACTTGAAAACTTCTTTATTACAAGTTTTATTGGCAAAACTTGAAAATCCTTCCTCACAAGTTTTTTCGCAAGACTTAGAAACACTCCTTCATAAGTTTTTAGACATAACTTTGAAATCTCTTTCATATGGTCTCCTCTCTCCTTTATATTATTTATGTTTAATTCCTTGTTTATTATGTTTTAGCATAAAAATAATAAATATTAGTTTAAAATTATGGAATTTGTTGAGGGTGCGATTTTCTAATTAAAAATGTTATATGAAGTGTTTTACATTAAATTGTACAATTTCTCATGGTCAAAGGAGATCGAAGTTTAGCCTAGTGGTTGAGTGAGGAGGGCTTGGGATAGTTAGAAGCATGAGGACCTAGGTTCAATCTTTATTTTTAAAGTCGGAGAGCATTCCACACAAAGGAGATCGAAGTTTAGCCTAGTGGTTGAGTGGGGAGGGCTTGGGATAGTTAGAAGCATGAGGACCTAGGTTCAATCTTTATTTTTAAAGACGGAGAGCATTCCACACAATGGGTAGTGAGTAAGTCATACAAGTGAGTTTGACACCACAACATAACCTAAAACCTTAAGGTATTAAGTAGGTGAGTCTTTCTCACTTATATATTACTCAACATGCCCAACTCTAACCAATGTGGGACTGAGACTTCACTTCACACTTGAACTCGAACATGATTTTATCAAGTGACATCGAAGTTCCTGTCTTCACTGTCGTCATCGAAGCGCCTTGAAAATTTGTTCTGAGCTCAACCTCACCGTTCATTTTTTCAAGAATTTATTCATGATTGAATCTCCTTTGTGAAATTAAATGTAAAAATTTATATAATTATTTAAGGGTTAAATTGAAAATATAATAATTTTAATATTAAAATATAAAATAATGATGCAGATCAAAATTGATGATATGGTATGACTATCAAATTTTTTAAAATATTAGTAAAAATTCTATAAAAAAAAGTACTTTAAAATAGGATAGTTTACGAATTTATAAAAGCAAGACTAAGTAGTTAATTTATATAAAACAACACAAAGACTTTACTTTAATTTCTTCAATTTTCATTTTTTTTAACAATAAACTAATAGATTTTTTTTTATATAGTTGGCAAATTGTGAAGCTGTTTGCAGAAAAACCCAAATAAATTGACTTTAACGTATATTCTCGAGTTTCAAAAATTACGGCATTGACAAACGACAGTGCCGAACAACAACAACGACCGTGTTCGTGTACACACACCACAGTGGTTCTTGCCTTCCTTTTCAATTCTCCACTTACCCATAAGAAGACCAAGATCATAGAACAAACGCCATATAAATTCAATACATTCTCACCATGAACACCATCGGATGGCATCTCTTATTCCATCCTTTCTATTTTCTTGAATAACGAGCTTACAGACATTTACTTACATGTAGTTATCATATAGCACGTGTATCAGTTGAAATGGAATTGTTTCAGCTTACTAATAGTCTGAAGTATTAAGAACTCAGACAAAGTTCTTTGCCGCACATATTTTCTTATAGAATAACTACATATATATCTTCCTAAGTTTAGGGTTGCAGGATCTGGCCGAATAATGTTTCTTAAAAAGGGAAAGTGGAAGCAAAGCATGATTTTCAAGGCGTGGGAGCGTTGTCGATTTTCCAGGCCACACTTGAAGCTAAAATCACTGTCAGATAACGATGATGAGAAGGGTCAAATAGCGCCACATGGTTGTTTTTCGGTGCATGTTGGACCAGAGAGACAAAGGTTCGTGGTGAAGACGAAATACGTTAACCACCCACTGTTTCAGATGCTGCTGGAAGAGGCAGAAGAGGAATATGGGTTCGAAAGTGATGGCCCTATTTGTCTTCCTTGCAACGTGGATTTGTTCTACAAAGTGTTGGCGGAGATGGATGGTGAAGAAGAAGAGAATAACAATAATAATAATAATAATATTATCGTTGTAACTAAGGTTTTTCCCTTCTTCGTTCTTCCGAGCCCAGCACGTCTTCTTTGTTACATGAACAAGGATCATGCTGCGTACAGCGTTGTGGATTCGGAATTGCTGAGGATAAACCGGTGTTAATAGTGTCTTGTAATTAAGTTCGTTGATGTAGAATAATATTTCTGGCAGTGGCTTGTAAATCGAATGCGAATCATGAAATGTTCGCGAGCATGCATCTAAGATTTAATAAAAATGTTGGCCTTATCTAGTTTGTTGCGATGAGAGTTTTGGTTGTTGAATTGGAAATCAATGAAGAAAATACGAAAAAGATAAGACTAAAGATTAACACTTCCTAATAAATCATTAGCAGCAAGAGAGAATGAAGAAAAACAGGACCGAAGAAAAATATAAAACTATTTCTAGCAAAAACAAAATCCTAAAAATAATTTTCTCAGTAACTTATCATCGAACAGACTCATAGTATAAGTGCATATATAGCTTATATTTGCTCAATTTATTTACAAAAGAAAAAGACTATAAAATAATCAAGAAATTATTAAATAGTTTAGAACTACCAAATATTCATAATTTGAATCAATATAATTCATTATGTAAAATGCATTTAATTTTTTTAATTTATCAAAAAAAAATATTAATGTTTACATGTTTTATAGAAGAATTAATCATTCATACACTGACAACCAATCATATCTTTTAAATTATTTTATTTTACTTTTATTTGATTAAATGAACAAAGGACATGACATTATTAAGAGATATAATTAGTTGTTAGTGTAAAAAATCTTTACACTGACAGTGTATAGGTGATTAACTCTTTATAGAAACTGGTTAAAAATTATGTTGTTTAGGAATTAGGGTCACATAATAATTTTTCTAAAATAATTATTTTACTCTAAAATAATTATTTTACTTTAAAAAAATTAGGGGAAAGGAATGTTGCCTTGATTTAAAACAGATAAAGATTTTAAATTTAAAGATAATATCTATAACAATATATAAAGGTATATAAAATTTTGATTTCCATTTTTTGATAGTTAATTTTATTACTTAATTAATATCATAGTCATCTCTTTTGATTATTTTTTATTTATTCTAAAAATGATCTTAATTTAAATTTTAGTTTCCACCCATTAGTACCTATTATTGTGTTACTTTTTCATCTTAACATTTTAATTTTTCACTCTTAGTTATTTATCATTTATCTTCTATTTTGGTTATTTTACATTTTATCTTTTGTTTTAAGTGTAATATATTTTCGTCCTTGTAATTTATGGCGCTTTTATTTTTTGTTCTTGTAAAAAAAAAATTCTTGTTTTATCCTTAATCTCATAATGCTTCAAAAATAGTTTTTATCGACAATTCTCGTTAAAAAAAATCTCATGTGTCTAATAAAATATATATCATATTCATTATATTTTTATTACTATTATCACATAGGTAAATTGATTTTAATTCTTTTTAGACAAAATTTTAAAATACACTTTACCGCACCCAAACCTACACACTCATCCTTGCAATCGTGCTTCGCCTCTCTGATCCAAAGTTGATGCTGCAAATCCTAAACCTCTTAATCCCAACCCTAATCTTCTCGACTAGGAGTAAATTTTCACTATTTGTGATCTCGACAATAGTGTTGATTTTGTCTTCAACAATCACACCTTTATGAGGTCGTTATGGATGTCACTTCACTATGGAGGAGTTCAACCTCACATTTAGCTACTCACCCATCGTGCAAGAATCGCCAAAGTATTCACCACTCCATTGGCATCGTTGCCAATGTCACTTCCTCCAAGGTTAAGAAGAATTGTGCTGATTAGCTTAGAACATTAAGACCATTCCCACCTATCGTGACCTTGTCACAATGACAAGTGAGACGCCTCATCAAAGAAGAGAGGTCAGTGGTCTAGCTCCACCACTAAAGACAATAGGATGCAACGTTCCACAGTCTAGAGAGGATGTACATGAAGAGTTTGATGAAATGATAATAGTGAAGTGTATTTTAAAATTGTCTAAAAAAATTAAATTAAATTTACCTATGTGACAATTGTGAAGTAAAATAAAATAAATATAATATGTATTTTGTTTGTTACGTAACAATTTTTTTTTACGGAAGTTGACAACAATGACTATTTTTAAATTTTTTTAATGAGATTATGACTCACATCTATCCTATCTTCAACACAAGTATGCATTAAAGAATATAAAGTAAAAAAGGGGAGGTTGGATTTGATTTAATGTCATATATATAGCTAGTAGATGCAAATGAACTTAATCAACTATACCACTCTTTCGAGAACCTACGAAGCTATGATGTTTGTGAGGGAAAAAAAAAAGAGATAAATTTTACAAAACATAAATTATAAAGCTTAAATACATTTTTTTTTCTTGTTAGTTTGAATTGTGTGTAAGTTTAATTTTTCAAGTTTTTAACTATAATTCTCACTTTTTTTTAAACTAACTTTTTTATTAAAAATCTTGTACAACACAGGATGTGTTAAATAGGATACAATACCCTTACAACCTATAATGTATTATGTTTTTAACTATAATTAAGTCTGTCTTTTTTTTCAAACTAAGATTTTTATGAAAAATCTTATAAAACACAGGAGGTATTAAATATGATACAAATACCTTTACAACCTATAATGTATTATAGGCTCTAAAAATAGAGTTCATATATTAAGCTCCTCGTATAATTTTAAAATCACTACCTAAAAAGCATCCAAAATCATGTGCAAAGTCATGCAAATTTATTCAATGGGGTGTTGCAAACACTCTTGTATGTAACCCGTATAATTGAATACACGTGCATACCGTTGGAAGAATCATCATACAAGTTCTCTCTTAAGTTCCAAAAACCAAACATCTAGATATATGAAATTTGTAAGAATTAGATATTTATAAATAGTTTAATAATAATTCGATAATAAATGGTCTAATAAACTGAACAATACTATCAATAAAATATATTATAATATTATTTTAAAATTGAAAGTTTTGATCTAATTTAATTTCACAAAATTAATTTATATAATAAAAATTTCGTTTCATTTATGTATTCTATTTTTGACAAATAACAAATAAATATAATATTAT